ACTTTTCTGAAGTATTGCACCAGAAGCCAGGGCCTACCCCCACCACACCCCCGAAGCCCTGACCTTGCTGTGGTTGGGCTTCCTTCAGCCCTGCAGTGTGGATGGCTTTCCCTAAATGAGACACGAGAGAGGCATGTTGAAGTAGATTGAGTGCAGACAGCACCACTGTGCACAGTGCCTCATGGTGGCTGCATGTTCCCTGCACTGTGCTGGGCACACCGGGAAATGGATGGTCGGCACCTATTTATCCACATATCAAACTTGCCTTGGGAGCCGGAGCAGAGGGCTGCTTGCACCGGGTGTGCCAGCCTGGCTGTGTTGGCACTGTCCTCAGCTGGGTGGGAGGAGGCCACGGTTTGCCTATAAACCATTGCATTGATCGAAGGTGTTTCTTGTTTACTCGGTGACTAATTCTGTCACTATTCCACCCTTTAAGGACTGCCCCCTTTCACTCCAGGGCCATTTAGCTGCCTGCTCACAAAAGGTTTCAGAAATGCTCTGTCTCCACAGCTGGCTTGAACGGTGTGTGCTTGGCCTGCCCCCCAGGAGGAGGGCTCACTGCTAAAATGGGGGTTCAAGGGTATCATCCTTGATGTCAGAGAGAAATTCCAGATTCACTCATGAATCAGATCACAGCTGATGAGGTTATCACATTACTAAGAAAAATATTTATTACTAATATAATACGTGTCTCTCCTGACTCCCACCACGCCTTTGTGTAATCAGTAACCACTTTGCATTCCTCATTTTAGGCCATCCGTATTGCTCAACTAGTTACAATTTTAATTTCTTATAGCAAAATCAGACATGCAATGACTATTCTGTGTCCTATGTTCTCTTACATCACAGGCAAATATTTGATGAAATTGTAGCATAATGCAGGAAGAAAGAGTAGAAAGTGCAAAAGTAGAAAGTAGGAAGTCGGGAGAATTAAACCCCAGAACCTACACTTACTCAGAAACATTGCAATAGCAAAAAGACCGGGAAGGGTGGAGGGGCACTTATTTTTCTCACAGATTAGAAGGGTGGTAAGTCTACTTTCAAAAACAAAATTCCCTACAAAAGGGTAACTTAATGTGTTTAATGTCAAATGAAATAAAAACAAAACAACTTATACCATTCATCCACGAAAAAAGAACATTTTAACATCACATTAACCTTTTTTTTCCCAAATAAAAGCTAGCTCTTTCCATTAGATAAGTTTTCCTTGAAATTTTCCTATGTGATTTGTTTTTCTCCATTTTGGGTACTTGAGAAAAATTCATCACAGACATGAATCACTGTCTGACTGGACTTGTGTCTCAGTTTTCCCATCTGTTAAACAGACAAAGAGTCCTTGAGTGGCTTAGGGGGCACCAAAGTCACTCTGGCTTGCCCAGGACTTTCTGGTCTTAACAAGAAAGTCCTGTGTCCCAGAATGTCCTCATTTCTGGGACAACCTCAAAGACAGTCACCTCACAGTATTTTCTATAGGGCCTGATTCTGAGCCTTTGCTCAAAATACAAATTCCAAGGCCCCAACCCACCAATTTGTGGAGTGGTCACAGGAATCAGAGTTACTGCCAGATTCCTCACTAGATTATCACTACAAGGTGACTCTGGGGAAAACTGACAGCAATAGCAACCATAATCCTGTTCGTAACTAGCACTGGTGTGGTGCTCACTGGGTGCCAGACCCTGTTCAGGGCACCCTGTGTATATTAATTCTCACAACTTGTTGAGATGGGGCCAACTTTTATTTCAATTTTACAGATGAGGAAACTGAGGCCCAGGGAGGCTCAGAAACTCACAGTCACTCTTTCAGCACATGGCAAGCAGAGATTCCAAATCCCAGAGTCCATGTTCCCATACTGTGCTCTCCCTAGAGTGTCAGCCCTGGGCTGTCTGTGGTGATGAGCTCTCCAGACCCCTCAGGCATGGGTATCACTGTCACTTTATTAGTTGCTGTACCTTTTGGGCTTTGGAAAGCTTGCCCCTTCTTGCACCATCTCAGAAATGTTCTCTTCAACCTCCCCAGTCATGTGAGCATAGCTCCCCCAGGCTGAATAAATCCATTTCTGTTGTACTTACATATGTCTGCCAATAGGTGACAGTAACCTCTTGGTTTTGTAGGAGCAATTTCACAAGTACTTTATGATCGCAGCATTGTCTGATTCCAGGTAATCACTGCAAAAGACATGTCATTGGTTTTCCTTCTTTCAGTTCCTGTGGCCTTGAAGTAAGAGGTTCCTTAGAATGTGCAGAGTGAGTCATGGAACCCCAACTCTGTGGAGGATGAGGCTTGTCTCTTGCCTGCAAGATAGATGGATAGATGGATAGATACAGATAGACAGACATGATGAAATATCTTGAGCCAAGATCTCAAGTGTTTATTGAAGATAGCCTCCAAGTAGGATTGAATTCAAATTGAATAGTAGAGGCTTAGAAAGTTTGCAAACCCATTGTTAACGTGTAAGCTTGTCACAAGCTGAATTTAGATGAGGACATTGTACGTATGTGTAAATAATGTTCCTGCATGTGTTTATGTATGAGCTTGACCAAGACATTTAACACGCCTCAGTTACCTCATCTATAACTTTGAAATAATAACCATTACCTTGCTGACTTGTTACAAAGAGTACCCTAGTTTTATGAGTGAAGCTTCTAAAACAGTGCCTCCCACACTGGGCAAGCACTCACCAAAAGTTGTTGCTATTATTACTTCATCAGGGCCCTGTGATTGGAGTTGTTGTTATGTGGTGGGTTCAAACCCTTGGGTCTTAACCATGGGTAGCACTCAGTCTCTCAGATGTCTCAAACCCCTCATCTGCAAATGGCTACAAATTACCCAGCATCAGTGAGCTCTCTGCAGAGATCCAGAGAGTAAATATATCAGGCTTTGTGAGCCATGGCACGTGTTCCTGGTCACTATTGTCAGACTCTGCCATTACACCATGAAAGCATCCTCAGAGAGTGCATAAATAAATGCCCCTGGCTGTCCTCCAATAAAACTTTATTTATGGAAGCTGAAATTTGCCCCCTACATAATTTCAAGTATCACACTTTGTGAGTTGTCTTCTTTGGTGGTTTTTTTTTTTTTTTCCAACCATGTACAAATGTGGAGCCCATTTTGTTCACTGGACATACTAAAACAGGAGCCCAGCTGAATTGGGCCACAGCTGTTGTTTCCTGACCCTGGTCTGGAGGATTCAATGCTGTATTCATAATATTCCATTTATAGACAAAAATGATGGCTTGTTGGAAATATGCATATTGTGGATTTTAAAAATAGGAAATACTTCAAAATAACAAGTGTCCCATAGGTTTTAGCAGTGCTCGGCTTTCTTCTGTGCTGTGATTAGAGAACATATAAATCCCCAGAGCTGGTACATCCGTGGGTCAGCTTTGGAGGCTCCATTCCTTTGTCTTCTGGGGGAGATAATAATATACAGAGCATCCCCTAGTGAAGAACCCAATGAACAGTGCCTGAGTCTTGTTTCTACCTCACTAACTGGGGGAGCTGTGGGAAGTCATTTAACCTCTGGAGTCTTAGCTGGAGAATGAGATCACAGTAAAACCTGCTTCACCAGGGTGTGGTGGGGCAAAATGCGCCAATCACAGGCAAAGCACTTGAGAAGCAGGCTTGGCATTGCAAGCACTAAGTTACTGTTTCCTCTCACCATCATCACAACAAGCTCTTGAGAGGGTCAGTGAGGACCTGCGCATGGGCCCGGGTTAGGGCCTGACCAAGGAGAGATGGGGTCAAGCATTACTTCCTCCATTCAACTCATAAACTACCCCTGCACGCCTGATAAATGCAAACATGCTGCTAGGAAAAGGAGACACGGTATCCCGTAAGGGGGACACAGCCTCTGGCCTAGTGGCACTTATAATGTATTAGGGACACAAACCAGAAATTCCCTTTTGTCCTGGTCAGGAACAATGACCATTCCAGAAACATCTAACCTAACATTGCCACCCTCACCCAGAACCACATAGCACTATCAACTCCCTGTTCCTTGTAGCAGAGGACACTGTGCATTTTTGTTTCATAGATACATATTTATTATGAGCCAGATAATCTAATCACTTTTAAGCATTGACTCATTGAATCTCTGTTGCAAATGTTAAAAGGCACAGAGACACTAATTAACTCTCCCAAAGACTCACAGCTGTGAAGCACAGAGAGTAGATTCGAGTCCAGGCATTCCTGTAAACTCATACTTGTAACCACTGTGCCTTGCACTGCAGGAAGTGGCCTAGTTTATGGATTTACTGCTCTGCTTATCCTCTTTCTATCTACTAGCTTCTAACTCTGTGGAGTCAAGTGGGCTGTCTGCTTAATTCCCAGCTGTCATCCTCACGCCTGACAGTGTCAGGTGCCAATGTTTGCTCAAAATATATCTGCTGCATCAATGAATGAGAATTTACTAACATAAATATATAATTACAAGCAGTACCAAGTGCTATGAAAAAAAAATGGCAGGAATGGCAGAGTGGCTCAAGTGGTAGCGTGCCTGCCCAGCAAGCATGAGACCCTGAGTTCAAATCCCAGTGCTGCCAAAAACACACACACACATACTTGGGTATTGTAACAAAAAAAATGCCAGTACCATGAGAATGTAAAATGGGAAAATCATTTAGTTTGAGGATCAGAGGATGCTCGAAATTCTAACTTTATTTCAATTGCCTTCATCTTAAAGTCTCCTTGACATGATAGCAGATGAGAGGGAAGAAAACATTTTTCACCCTGATCTTACCTTTCATGATGATAAATATTTCCACCAGCAATGAAATGCATTTGAAAGGTAGGGGCACATTTGACTTTAATTCTGTTGCATATAAGGGTCCAAGACCGCCTCTCCTTCCACAAAATAAATAGAAGCAATTTATTCGAACCTGGGCTGTGATGATACATGCATGAGTCCCTTGTCGGTCTACAGTTTGGCTTTGTGTGTAGATGTCTGACTTTGTTTTGGTTTTGAGTTCCTTCTCCCTCTTCTCTTCTCTATTTCAGGAGCAATGGGTAACCAAATGAGTGTTCCACAGAGAGTTGAAGACCAAGAGCTCGAATCAGAAGCAGACACTTACAAGGTAGAGCAGTCACAATCATTGGGACACTGGCAGCTAATGACCCGCCCAGCGCTTGTGGCAGGGGAACAGCAGGTGGGGGCTGCTGCTGTTATCCATCAGTTGTAGTCAGACCTTTGTAGCTGGCTAAAAATGCAGGCTCTGAGCCCCACTAAACTGAAGTAGAGAGCCTGTGTCTTCAGGGACCTCCACAGGTGATTCCCAGGAAGCCAATTCGGAACCTGTTCCCTAGTGGGACCTCAACTATCAGATTTTGTTCCTCACTGCTGTCCCCTGGGACATGTGTCAGTGTCTGGAGATATTTTTGACAGTCACAAATCAGGGAGAGGTTGTGCTCAAGTGGTTATCAAGAGGCCCTGAGTTCAAACTCTAGTACCTAGTACCCTAGCATTGACCTGGGGGAGCAAGTCATGGTGTGTAGGCCAAATGGTTTGATGGTTGGATCTTTTATTTCTTGGTAGGGCTAATGATAAAGTCAGAAACACAGACTACTTTTAAATAATTAAAAAAATTTTAAAAACAGGAAAGACCTTCTGTATCCTCCAGGAGGTTCCCACCTTTGGGAGTTGGTATTTAGTCTTTTAGGTGTTTTTCCTCTCTGTACTTATTAACATATGTTCTTACTATTAATAATAGTAGCAGAATAAGACTCCATATGCAAAATACTATATAATCAATATGCAATTAATACTGATTAAAGGGTATAAATTATCACTAAAACATTATATAACATTCTTTTGCAACTGTTTTTCTATGTGATTATTATATGTATATACAATCTTTTTAAATATCTATAATAAGTAACAAAAGACAAAAAGAGCAATACTCTAAAATTAGGAAAAGTTTGCAACAATGAATAAGGGAGTATAAAACACACACACACACACAATGAATTCCTGTATCTAACAAATCTGTTAGCTCAAGGCCTGGCTGATGTTGTGTTTGTGTGCAGGACCATTTGGTGATGTTAGTTTTACAGATGGTGAAACCACCATGTTACATTTCTGTTCCATCCCTCATTAGATAGGTAGCCTTTTTGAGCCTTAGAATCCAGGGTAGATGATGGGTTGGGGAGGTGGGGAACAGGACCCACCTGTGGCACTGTGATAAAGCACAAACCACAGAATACACTTACAGTGACAAGAAGCCAGCCTAGGGTGGGTTATTTTGTTAGCCTAAGGCATGATCAGAAGCTGGGTTTTTTCTAGAAATGCGGCCTTTAAATTGTTTAATTTTTGTGAGGCTTCCTTGTAGCCTTCAGACTCTCTCTTGAATTTTCTAATTTTCCCTGAAGACTTAATCAGTAATGCCACCGGTTCTGTTCCAGGTGACAGAGGACAGTGAGTGTGGCCAGAACGGGATCCCGGTGGTTGTATCGACCTGCACAGTTCAGCACTATGATGAAGGTCAGTGCTATGCTGGGAGAGCTGCTCCCCTGGGGTGGGAGGGTCTCTTGTTCTGTTTATGGCAAACAGAATGGAAAGGTAAAGCCACAGACTCACTTTAGATGCTCACTTGTATCGTTTCCTGGGGAGGCTATAACAAAGGACCAGAGGCTGGGCAGCTTAAACAAAGGTGTTGATTGTCTCATGGTGCTGGTCTGGAAGTTTGAAATCTGGGTGTTGCAGTATTGGTTTCTTCTGAGGGCTGGAAGGGAAGACCTAGTTCCCATCTCTCCCTGTGTCTTCAGGGCAGGTCTCCAGAGGGCTGCCTCTGTGTCTAGATTCCTCCTGTTTATAGGGAAACAGACATGTGAGGTTAGGGCCCACCCTTAGGACCTCATCACCATCAGCAATGACCCTGTTTCCAATGAGGTCCCATTTATGAGGATAGGGGCCAGTCTTGGGGGGAGGGTAGATATAATTTATTCCATGACCTTTAGCTTGTTTGAGTCACATGACAGCCCAAAGAGACCAAGGATTTGCAATATATGAGAGAAAAGCAGCAGAGGAAAACACTGAGAGTTTGGCTTTTGGAGTCAACAGACCTAGCTTAGAACCTATTGTGCACTGGCTGTGTGACATGGAGCATGTCATGGGACATGTGTGTTTTATGAATCTATTGTAGCTCATTGACTCACACTGTCATTGAGATAGACTCTGCCCCACATTGAGTTTGTGGTCCTCCTGCTGAGTGCAGGGGTGCCTTCTTTGTGTCTGTTCACACGTAGACTTTGGTGAACTACAAGGGAGAAAGAAAATCTCCAACAGCCGTGAGATCACTGGAGAGTTAGAAGGGACCCATCTCCAGGCCAGATCCAATTAATCATCCTAGAAGGATAACGTAGATTCCGTTTAGTAAGACCCTAGCCATGGAGATGCTACACACCCCACTGTGCTCCAACAATCCCTTTCTACCCAGTAAGGTAGAGTGACAGCTGTGCCTTACCTTCATTCCCTAATAGCAGGAAGGTGGAGATAAAGCCTAAGTCTAGAGATTCAGGGAAGGAATACCTGAAAAGACTTGTTGTAACCACCTCAAAAGGAAATTTTCTGTTTTGTTTTTGACAAAAGTGGCTGCACATCTCCCCTAAGGAGATAGATGACAAGCTTAGCATCCATCCAAGCCCACGAGAACAGAGGCAGTGCTGCTGGGATTTCATCAATGTTTTGTTCTTCAATTACAAAACTGCTCTTTAAAGGCATGTGAGCTATTGAGAGTCCCTTGAGTCACCTCCTCACTTACACAGACCTGAAGTGTGGGGCAGAGGGAAGCAAGTGTGGGTATCTGGGTCAAAGGAGGGAGGCAGGCGAGGAGGACATGTTGGCCTCACAGGTGACCCAGGACTCAGTGAGATGATGCCTTCAGAACTCAGAGAATCCCACCAATGACATTGTATTATCACACACATGCTGACTTCCTGTGTAGGTCCTATGTCTGTGCTCTACACATGAAAAAATACACTTTATTTTTCATTTCCCGCCCCCCCCCCAAAAAAAAGGTTTTGCCCCCTTGGGGTCAGCAGAATCTCCACCAAGAGTGTGCACTCAGGAATGTATTTATTTACGAGACCACAGGCCTATAGAACAATCCCCCTCCTCCTCCCAGATGACTTTGGCCTAATCCTCATAACCTGTGAACATGTCACCTTATGTGGCAAAAGTGGACTCTGCAGCAGTGATCCAGGACCTTGAGATGGAGCAATGATCCTGGGTTATCCAGGTTGCTCTGATGTAATCCCAACGGTCTTTATAAGGAGTGAAGCAGGAGAGAGGGAGCAGGAAAAGAAGATATGATCATAGGAACAAACGTCAGAGACAGAGACAGAGACAGAGACAGAGACAGAGACAGAGACAGAGATAGAGATAGAGATGCTGCTGGCCTTGAACTTGGAGATGGAGCTACATGCAAGGAGTGCAGGTGAAGTCTGAATGCTGGGAAAGGTGAGGAAGCAGAAACTCAATTTTGACTTATGACCTTCAGAACTGTAAGATAATATATTTGTTCTGTGTTAAGTCACAAAATCTGTGGGCATTGAGCAGTGCCCCTCAAGCACTGGAGTCAAATAAACCAGGTTGAGGGGTCCAGCTCTGCAACTTAGTAGCAAGGATTTGTCCAGTGTTCATCTGTAAGATGGAAGTAATGACACAAACTTAAGGAAGCTGTAAGGACTCCCACTGCAGAGAGTGAGCATGATGAAAAGGAGGCATCAGGGTAAAGTCACTGTCACTCTTGCCCCTTGTCTCCAGCTATCCCTCAGGTGTTGCCCAACTGGATTTTCCCACCTGAGTATTTATGCCTAAAGCTTCACAGATCTTTGGGGAAATAAAAATACCTCATTTTATCTCCTCCTTTGATTTCTTTCTAGCACACTTCACATTAGTCACTCTTTAAAAAAAAAAAAAAAAAAAGGTTGTTCAGTCCTCACAGCTGATGGATGGCAGAGACTAATACATGATGTATCTGCCAGAATGTGTCATTTTTCAGCCACTGAAGAATGTCTCTGTTTTGTAAGGATAAGAAGTTTCCAAAATTAATACCTTCCTTTTGGTTCCTGCTCAGTTGTTCCTAAAAAGAGGAATTGCCTCATTTTGCTTTCTTAAAAAAACAAATATATGTGAGTGGCTTTCAAAAAGGCCTCAACCCTGCTGACCAAACACACAGCTGGCATTATATCATGCTTTTCTCCCTACTTCACACCTCTCAAAGGAGAGCTTTAAAAAAAAAAATCATCAGGGTACCACGGCTGGATGTGATTGAGCATTGAAGCCCCCCACCCAACTCCACCTATGCTTACTTGGTTTCTGGATGCACAGAGCATCCTACCAATTGGAGTGTGCGCCCCATGAATGTTTCCTACAGAGAGGGGCTGTGGTGGGGCATTGCCAGTGGCCAGTCCCTTTTGTAGAGGTGCCTTACTCCAGAAAACTTCAAAAGTTCAAATTTCTGAATTTATATCAGATAGGACTGTAGTACAGATTGGTCCCCAAGGCCATTGACTATCTGGGATGTATGGCTCACGTGGCCTGGAAACCCCCAAAAAAGCTACAGACTCATTAATTAGAGCTGACGCATCTGTGGGCCTACTCTGGCAAAGCAGGAACCAGATCCAATGCACCGTCCATCTGCTTTCAATCCTGCCTCTCTTCTCTTGACCTGCTTTAACTCTTTTATCATTTGTCTATTTTTTTCAGATGGCTTGAGACATAGTACATAGACATAGTAAATGTATCAAACAATATACAAAATGAGGTCAGGCCAGGAAAAAAATCCCAACTCTAATTCTGGCAGCTCCCCAACTACAAACTTCCTCATTTGTGTGGCTGGCTCCTTTCACTTAACACAACGTTCCCAAGGTTCATCCAGTACTTCATTCCCTTTTATGGGTAAATAATACTCCATTGTATGTATGCCACATGTTGTTAATTTATTCATTAGTGATTGGATGTTTGGGTTGTTTCTACTTTTCGGCTATCATAAATAATTTCACTGTGCATGTTTGCGTACTAATTTTTGCATGGATATGTATTTTCTTCCTTTGAGCGTGTACCTAGGAATGGACTTGCTGGGTGGTATGCTGGCTCTAGGTTTAATTTTTTGAGAGCGTGCTGCCCCGTGTTCCATCCCCACCAGCAATGAGTGAGGGTTCCAGTTTCTCCACCTCCTCCCTGCGCTGGTTATTCCACCTTTGTGACGAAGGTCATCCTAGTGGCGTAAAATGGGCCAAATGCCCACTCTATTTTCTTTAAGCTTTTTTACTTCGTGTATGTTGTTTGAGATGGGGTAGGACACAGTACATTGACACAGGAAATGTTCTGAACAATAGGTGTCATGAGATCGGGCAGAGGCAAAGGTGTCAAGTGGGGTCACGTTGTGGTGATGACCAAATCGGTCACTGACTGACAATACTAAGGGGCCTTACGTGCTCAGTGGCCATCTGTACTTCTACTCTTGGGAGAGTAAAGCCATCCCCCTTTGGTTGCTTTTCTGCATCCTTCTCCCCGCCTCACGCTGTCTCCTGGCTGGTTTTCCTGAGTCCTGAGCTAATAATGGTCACTCTCTATCAGTCCTTTTGTTTGCTGGTTGGTTAACTTTATTTGTTTGAGACAGAGTCTTCCTTTGTAGCCCAGGTTGGCCTCGAACTCACGGTCCTGTTCCTTCTGCCTCCCTAGTGCTAGGGTGACAGTCATCTGCCACAACATCCTATGTGCCACATACTTGATCTGAACCCCTCCCCCAGTTTCCAAAGCTCACCCTTGTTTCCAAAGCTCACCCTTGTTTCCAGCAACCCAGGGCAGGACCACCTTCCCTGGTAAACTGCTTAGCATTTAAAAGGTGCTTAGTATCTGTGCTCAACTCTCTTGACAGTGGGGGGAAAGACACCCTGTCACATCTGCTGGAAATTGATTCTCTAGACCCTTTTTGGATTTAGGGCTAGCAAGTCTACATTTGTGCCTCTATTCTGTGGAAGAGTGGAGCGCTGCTTTAAACTTTTTGACCATGGAGGCTTATTCTAGCATTGTTGGTAGTGGAAGTGCCAGAAACAATATGGAAATTACCAGAATGGATACACAGAGGCTTAAATATCTTTTAGTATATCCAGACCAAAGAATATTATGCAACTCTTACAAAGGAGAAGGCAGATTTGGACATATTGACTATGAGGGACAAATATGATGTTTAAAATCAATCAAAACTATTTCTAAGACAATCTGATTTTTATAAAAACTTACATTGACATCTACAACCACCATATATAAATATTTGAAATGCCTATACGTGTTTGTGTTCACAAAGTTTGACAAGTCACAGAAGGCTGCACATGTTACCTTGCAGTAAGGGTGAGGCTAGAGACAGGGAAAGGAAAGGGCTAAGACACGTTCACCATTTCTGGTAATAAACACATGTTAAACATGTATATTACCCAATTTAGGAAAAAAACACACAAGACCAAATTAGACATCTG